AGCAAGCCAGTAAGCTGCCTCCCTCCATGTCTTTCCTCCTTCTGCCCCTGAAGAGCTGCTGCCCAGTTCCCCTCAGTGACAGGCTGTGATCAGGATGTTCAGGAAAACAAGTAAACCCATTCACCCCAAACCACTGTGGTTACCACAGCAACAGAAAGCAAACTGAGATAAGAGCCAGATGTACATTCTCTGTTTCAAGGCAATAATTTAAAAACAACAACAACAACAAAAAAAAAAAACCAACCAAACTAAAACTTTTTTTTTTTCCCCAGGTTCTCACCTCAGGCTGGCCTCAAACTCTCTACAAAGGCAGTGCTTACCCTTGAACTTGTTCTTTCACCTCCAGCTTCGAGTGCTGGCCTTGCAGGTGAGCTCCACCACGCTGGGTGTGGGACCCCAGCCTTGGTCCATGCTAGGCAAACCCTCTACTGAGTCACATATTCAGATCCTAGGAAATTATATTTTTATTTCAACAGTTTCACTTTTTAACTTTGCCTGAGGAATCCTGTTCAGCTGGTATGAGGTGCACACCCTCAGTCAAGCAGTCAGGAGGCTGGAGCATGAGGAGCAGACCTGGAGACCAAACAAACAAAGCAAAGACCAACCAGGTTAAGCAAGCCCTACAGGCCAAACCATTCTAATGAGTTTCCTGCTGGAATCTCAGTGATTTTTATGCTCATTCACCTCTCCTCTCTCCTCCCTTCCCCTTCTAGGAATCAGTGGGGGCCTCTACTCCACTCTTGCTCTCCTAACTGTCCATTCTCCTCAGGTGGTAGCTTAAGTGTTCTGGCTTTCCATGATTATCAGTTGTCACCTGCTCTGCTGTTGAGTCCTTCAGCCACTAACTGGAGAGACACCTCTCTCCTGCCTTTGCCAGCCCCTCCTTGTTCTCTCTCTTTCAGCCATACTGGTTTTCTGTCTGCTCTAGGATAGCCTGACTTCTCCTGGTCCCTGCACATATTCCATGGCTGTTCCCTTTCTTAGGACACTTCTCTCTGATGGCGAGCCACATACTTTTCAGTCTCCAGCTTAAATTTGTTGTCTAGAAACAACTGTCTAATCCCCATTCACTTAATTTCTTGGATAGTTCATCCCAATCAAACACCTTTTTTTAGAGATTTATATATTTATTTAATGTATGAGTGTTCTATCTGAAGAGGGTATTGGATTCCAGTATAGATGGTTGCAAGCTACCATATGATTGCTGGGAATTGAACTCAGGATGTCTGGAGGAGCTGACAGTGCTCTTATCTGCTGAGCCATCTTTTTAGCCCCCCAATCAAATTCTTACCTAGAGAGTAAACTCTAATATTCTGTACCTTAGGAGCCTACATACTGCTTGACCCAGAGCTGGTCAAAATCAGTATGTACGCTGTGACTAGAAGAAGGAACAAATGTCTGCTCTATTGCAATCCCATGAAGGAGGAGCTGGAGAGATGTTTCAATGGTTAGGAGTGCTGGCTGCTCTGCCAGAGGACCTGGGTTCAAGTCCTAGTGCCCACACGGTGGCTCACAAGTGCCTGGGGCTCCATTTCCTGTGCATCTGACTGACTCCTGTTCTGGCCTCCTCAAGCACTAGACATGCATGTGGTGCACAGGCATTTATAGGCGTGCAAAGTCTCCATTCACATGAAAAGAAATAAAATATAAAACAGTTTAAAGAAGGAAAAAGATTCAAGGATTTTCTTTGAAGGAAGTCAGGACGCAAGAGGCAAGCTCACCAGCCGAGTAAAGGATTGCAGCAAGACACAGTGAGCACAGAGCAGACCCGCTGCTGTGTGTTCTGAAGGAAGCTGGGGAGGAGTTCTTGACCCTGTCATTTGTTTTTCTCCTGCTCTGGAAATAGAAATCTCTAGCATTATGTTTGCTTAACTTAGATCTACGACATTTATGTGACTCTTGCTACGTAAGGATGGCGCAGTGGAAGAGGTGTCCCATAAGCAGGACTGGCGATTTCACAAACTGGCACATGTGACCCAGACCCATGGTGACCTAATGTATTACCCAGTAGAGGAAAAAATGTTTCTTAGTGCAGCATTTGCATTCTTGTTCTCCTATCCTTCCACATGCTTGGTGATGACCCTCTAGAACAGTCTGCCTTACTAAAAGAAGGAAGGAAAGAAAGAAGAAAAAAAAAACAAGGCAAGACAGAAAGGAAAATGAAATGGTGCTGTTATTAAGCTAAGAAAAACAAAGCCACTTTAATAAAAGTACTTTCATCTTTGTAACAATACATAATTTGGAGACTTGCTTTTTTTTTTTTTTTTCTATTTTAAAAAAAGCGTATTTTCTGTTAACTCTTCTAAGGAAGGAAGGGTTATTTTGGCCACAGTAGAGGATACAACCCATCATGCCGGGGACAGTGGAGGCAGCAGTGTGAGACAGCTGCTTGTTTGGCATGCACAGTCAGGAAGCAGACAGTGATAACGCTGGTGCTCGGCTGGTTTCGTCCTCTTATTCAGTTCATGGTTCTAGGCTGTGGGTTCGTGCTGCCCCCCCCCCCCCAATTTATATTTAAAACATTTAACTTTGTAGATGAAGAGATGTTTTTGCAGTGCTTGTTGCTCTTCCATTGGACCTGAAATTCCCAGCATCTATACAGTGGGGTTGCAATGGCTTGTAACTTTAGCTCCAGGGGATTCAATGCCCTCTTCTGGCCTCCATGGAAATGCATACATGTGGTATACATACATGTACACACCCACATACACACACACAAAGAGAGAGAGAAAGTCTTAAACAAATTTAAAAGCAAACAAAAGAGTCCTTTACATGTATGTATGTATATAATACATATATTAGTGAGTCTTTGAAAACACTCAAATGATAATAAAAAGATAAAATATATGTAACTTCAATCTAATGCTCTCTTGTTTCAGCCTGCTTCTGTACTGGACAGAATACTATGAACACTCTGTTGGCTTTTGCTCATAACAGTTCCCCTCTAGACAAATGCATGTATACAGTGCCGTTGTCTCATGTTGTCTCACGTTTTTGCAAAAGTGCATTTCTATAAAATAGGTTGTTTAGCACTTTTTTCCCTGGTTTTACCAGTCAGGGTTCCTCTAGGTAGCCTTGGCTGTCCTGAACTCACTTTATAGTCTAGGCTTGCCTCAAACTGAACTCACAGTGATCCGCCTGCCTCTGCTTCCTGCTCTCTAGGCAATCTGTCTGCCAGCTGAAGTACACCCCTCGGCTTCTGTACTGCTCATTTTATCTTTAAGAAAACAAAACCCAGCATGTTGGCAAACACATGCAATTCTAACTCTTGAAATTCCAGTTCCCCAAGAGACAGAGACGGTAGGATGACTCAAGCCCACCTTTGCTAAAGGGTAAATTAGAGGCTTGCCCCTTTGCTTGAGAGTTTGATAAAAATTAAAAACCCAAACCTCTTTATTATCCAACCCTACCTGCCTCTTTCTGTGTGTGTGTGTGTGCACACGTGTGTTTTATCAAACTCTGGATATATAAAAATATGAATTTATCTTTAAGATGGTAATAAAATAGTTTATTATAATAGAAATTTGAGTGACCATGGCTTTGGAATATCAATTCTCCCTGAATGACATTCCACAATAGAAAAATTTATGTGAAATTCCTTTTCTTTTACAACTTATTTATTATTATTATTATTATTTATTTTTACTGAGACATGTTCTTACTATGTGGTTCTGACTGGCCTGGAAGACCCAGCTTACCTGGAATATACAGACAGAGATCTTGCATGATTCTGCCTCCTGGTACTAAGACTGAAGGCATGTGCCACCATTCTTGGCTCTTATCTATTTATTTGTTTGTTTGTTTATTTGTTCATAAATAATAAACTTGTAAGCACAAACTCATCTTTGTGCTTACAAGAAATGAAAACCAGCATCTCTCTGCCACTGACCTCTAACTCTTAAGCTCATGATCCTCCAGCCTTGCCTTCCTGAGAAGCTGGGATTCGAGACCTGTTCTTCCAGTTTGAATATGAACTTTGACAGTCCCAGAAATTAAAGTCAAGGATCCGTGTTTCACACCCTATGGAGGTTTCCATGGAAAGAGAAGAATAAAAGGATTTCTAGCATCCAATAAGGTGTTTACTCCTTGGTAGATCTCACTAGTTACTTAGTTGAATTCCCAGAATTTGGAGGTTACCTTTGGGAAAATGGAAGACTATTAGCCATCACTGTCTGTTCCCTCCATTTTATAAGCGAGTAGGCCAAAGGACACCCTCTGAGATGGCTCAGTGACAGTGAGCTGTGCAAGGTAGCCAACTGTGTGAGGCAGGGAATACACGAACCTTCCTCAGTAGAACTCTAAAGGGACAGAAAGGTTGGTGTCATGTTCTGCCAACTATTTTTATTAGTGAAAAAGCAAAATAGTGGTGTCTCATGTGGGTTTTATATGTTCTACAGTTGGCTAATGTCCATTAAAATTCTCAGTGTTTGGCCACCAGTTTGTAACATTAGTTCTCTGATCTCTTCTAAATGCAGATACTGTTGGTGCAAATAGCGTGGGTCCCCAGGCATGAATGCTGAGCTCAGGGAGGCTTCAGGAAAGCTATTGCCATCTTTAAGACTGGTAACAGGTTACATTCCTTTCTGAGAGAAAGTCAGAGAATCTTCTGGCCAGAAGGGGAGTTAATGAAGTAGTAGACAGGCCTACTCATAGTTTTATGGTTTAGCAATTAAGAAGCAAAAGCTGAAATCTAGAAGTTAGAGTCACAAGACATGTAACATCCTTCATAAGTGAGCTTAAAAGAAGCTGCCATATAGTTTCCATGAGGATTTGGTGCCTGTGATTAAATAGCCTAGCTAGCTCTTCCTTCACAGCACATTCTCCATAAAGCTGAGCAAACATTAGTGCTGTTTTACCTCAGGGGATATCTATGCATGGACGCATTCTGTGAATGGGAGGTTTGCACCCTTACTCAATGCTTTTCTAGACCTGCTCAGTTATGAGGTGCTGAGAGCCACAGCTAACCCAAGTGTCTTATTACTGACCTTCAGGTCAGCGTCATGATGCATCCTCAAGTCTTCATTTTAGGCCTCATGCTCCTTCTTTTAGGTAAGTGAGTAGATGAGCTGGGGCATGCTGCGGAGGCAGAAGAGATGACAATCCTTGAGCTTTTTTGATTATGGGCTATGTAGTGAGCAGAGAACCATGATAGATTGTAGCTCCAAAGAAACTTGTGTGACCTGTATGAACTTCAAAACAGATAGCTAAATAAACATGACCCACAGGAACATGTGAGGCAGAAAGTGAAACATGTGCATACATGCGATGGACGAGCAAGGATGAGTACACATGCCTGCATGTGTTGGACAAGTATGGGTGAGAATACATGCATGTATGTGATAGTCAAAGCTTAATTTTAAAAAAATCAGAAATAGTGCTTTTCATGCATGATGGCTAGTCAGACCCCATCCCACTTTTTGTGCCTTTTTGCTTATTTAAACTATTTTTAATTACATAACTTAAAAATATTCTAATTCAGGACATTCTATACAAGGGGAGAATGGAGGAATAAAACAATTGTATTTGAGACAGGTGCTAAGTTAATCCAGGCTGGCCTCAGACTCTATAGGTAGCTGAGGATCACATCAATCTTTTGATCCTTCTGCCTCTATCTCCCAGGATCTGAGATCATTGGTGAGAAATAAAATATATTTCTATGACTTAATTAAAATGGCATGTATTTTATTTGAGAAAGGAATTTGTCAAAATCAAGTAATGAGTGTCACAGTAAGAAATATACTTCTTTTATATAAGGAACAAGAATTCTCAAATCACAGCCTAGGCCTGCGTATGGGTGATTTATTAGTGAATTTCACAGTTTGTTGTTTTGTGCTTTTCTTGATTATTTGTTTGTTTCCTGTGCTATGGATCTAACACAGGGCCTGGCATAGGCTAGCTAGCACTGTATCATTGAGCTATTTGTATTAGGAAATTTATTCCATCATTTCCATAAGAATTATGTTTAATTACTTCAGTTTTTAAAAATTATTTATTTTTATATTAATTTACAGTTTATTCACTTTGTATCGCAGCTATAGCCCCTCCTTTGTTCCCTCCCAATCCCACCCTTCCTCCCTCTTCTTCTCCTGTGCCCCTCCCCCAGTCCACTGATAGGGGAGGTACTCCTCTCCTTCCATCTGACCCTAGCCTATCAGGTCTCATCAGGATTGGCTGCATTGTCTTCCTCTGTAGCCTGGTAAGGCTGCTCCCTCTTGGAGGGAGGTGATCAAAGAGCTAGCCCCTGAGTTCATGTCAGAGACAGTCCCTGTTCCCATTACTAGGGAACCCTCTTGGACACTGAGCTGCCTGCCATAGGCTACATCTGTGCAGGGGTTCTAGGTTATCTCCGTGCATGGTCCTTGTTTGGAGTATCAGTCTCAGAAAAGACCCCTGTGCCTATATTTTTTGGTTCTGTTGCTCTCCTTGTGGAGCTCCTGCCCCCTCCGTGTCTTTCTATCACATCGGAAGAGGGAGAAAACAGGGAACAGGACAGGACCTTACCACAGAGGGCTCTGAAAGACTCTACCCAACAGGGTATCAAAGCAGAGACTGAGACTCATAGCCAAACTTTGGGCAGAGTGCAGGGAATCTTATGAAATTACTTCAGTTTTTAAAATTGCATCAAGTTATTGGTTGCAGATTCTCTGACTGTGTTGTCTTTCTTTACAAGGGGGTCTTGTTCAACTTCTGAAATGCCATGAACTTATAAGAAGAGATTACTGCCTATCGTTTTTTTGTTTTGTTTTGGTTTGGTTTTAAGTTAATCACCCCCATCCCCTATTGCTGCCACCTTTGGTTTTTTTTTGAGACAGGATTTCTCATGTAGCCCTGGCTGTCCTGGACTCTCTTTATAGACCAGGCTGTCCTTGAACTCACAAAGGTCTGTCTGCCTCTGCCTCCCCAGTGCTGGGATTAAAGACCTGTGCCACCACTGCCTAGCCTTGTTTTGTTTTGTAAGAAGCTAATCAAAAAGTCAAGAGTAAGCCTTAGCCCCTCCCAATGATGTTCTAAAATCATTTATGACAATTCACTTTGAAGGTACTCAAGTTTTGCCTTGAAGCCAACAATGTCATAAGTAATGTCTTGGCTTCTGCTCGTTGATTAGGAGACATGGTAAAAGTTAGTGCTTTAGTAGTCTACAGCACTGTGGGGCAGAAGGGATGGTTTGAGACAGGGTCACCAAAGCTTAGGCCTCCCCTGAACTCATTAGTTAGCTGAATCTGGCCTTGGATTTTTCATTTTCCTTCCTCTACCTCCTAGGTTTTGAGAATACAAGGGAGTTCTGAGTATAAAAATGTTGCCCATGTGCCCAGTTTCTGAAATAAATAGATTTTTTCATAATTAATTTAATTTTATGTGCATTAGTGTTTTGCCTATGTGTATGTCTTTGGGTGTCAGATCTTAGAGTGACAGACAGTTGTGAACTCCCATGTGGGTGCTGGGAATTGAACTCAGGTCCTCTGGAAGAGAAGTCAGTGCTATTAAGCACTGAGCCCTCTCTCCAGATAAATGTTTTAAATGTACAAAAATAATATTTGAGCTGCTCTCAGTCGCCCATGTTTACCACCCAGCACTCAGGACTCAGGAGTGTGAAGATCATAATTTTAAGCCAGATGAGGTATATAGCAAGACCCTGTGTCCAAAAGAAACACACACAGTGAAGAAGAAGAAAAAAAAAGAGAGAAAAAAAAGAAAAGAAGCAGTGTGAATATCATGCCACAGAGTGAGTTGTTTTGCTCACAAATGTATCCATTAAATAATCACACTAAGGAAGAATACGCTAGGAGAAAGTGTCTACAGTCTTCAAATTCAAGCTTTAAAGCTGGGCCTTTACTCACAGGATTTGGGAGGTAGAGGCAGCAGAACTGTGGGAGTTTGAAGTCAGCCTGGCTTATGCAGAAAATTGCAGGACAGCAAAGGCTACAAGGTGAGACCCTGGCTCACAAAACAAAATAATAACAACAAAGTTTAAGTTGTCATTCCCTGCATGTGCTTATACCCCCACACCAGTGCGCCTGCGTGTGTACACACACACACACACACACACACACACCGCACACACACCAAAACACCAATGATGAGGAAGGGCTAGTCTCTCATAATACCCTAAGTTCAGTTCCACTTGAGTCCTATGCCCCTTTAATTTTCTGAAAAGAAAAAAAAAAAAAAAACAAACAAAATTTTAGGACAATGTAAGATATTAATTCTCCATCTCTTCCTCTCTTCCTTTTTAACATCACAGGCGCTGTGGAAACTTATGTAGTAGTGAAGAGGATGGTGGGCCACCCTGTCATACTTCCATGTACTTACTCGACAGTTCATGGACTCACAACCACATGCTGGGGCAGAGGGGAATGCCCATTTTTTCATTGTGCAAACACACTTATCAAGACTAATAGACACAGTGTCACCTATGAGAGGAGCAGTCAGTATCAGCTAAAGGGGCATTATTGGAGAGACAACACGTCCTTGGCGATGGAGGACGCTGCTCAGAGTGACAGTGGCCTGTACTGTTGTCGAGTGGAGATATTAGGATTGTTCACCAATACGAAAGTGACTGTATCGTTGGAAGTTAAACCAGGTAAGCTTTCTTCATTTTCTTTATTTATCTCTTGCAAGAAAATGGAGTCCTGGGTTTGCTAATAGTTTGGTCTTTTCTTGTAATAATGAATCAGAAGGTCCTTACGAACATGATTGTCATTAAACGCTTTCTTTTAAATGGTTAAAAAAGACTTAATCTCATGTCCTGAGAATACAGACATATGCTATCAAACCCATCCTTAAATATTCTCTTTTGAGTAGCAGAACAACCTTATTTGCTTGGATGAGGTCCCAAAATTGACATTAATTCAAAACCATGAGCTAAGTCAGCATCCATGTTCCAACTGTACTTGGGACAGTCTTGTTTGTTCATGAAACTGCATGCACCTTCCATCCTGAAACACAGTGGGGAGCTTTATTTAAGATGAATGTATTTGACTTTAAGAAGTGCCTCTTTTCTGTGATTCTATCTTAGGACATTATATCTTAGGGCCATTCTCAATATTGTAAAACTGTAGCAGCTCTGACCTGAAAGCAACGAAGTTGCTGCTGCACACGTGAGCGGCTCCAACAATGGTCAGCTGACCCTCTGTGCACAGGCCACGTATATAGGTGGGGAGCTCTACCCTCTGCCCTGCCTTGCCTGAGATTTTTGAAATAGGTCTCAAATCATATTACAAAAACAGTTGTTTAGAAACTGGAAATGTCCTGATAGGAAAGAGGTTCCCTCCAATGCCTGTTCACTGGTCATTCCTTAGTGTAATGACAGATGGGCAGCAGTGGTGAGTCTGTAAGAGACCCTGATACACACTTCCCTCTAGTGAGCTTTGTTAGAATGAAGACGCTTCAAGGCCATGATCAGAGCTCAAGTTGGGAGGGAGAATATTAGACAGAAACAACACAATATATGATGTTCATATCTTGATGGGGATATGAAGAGGCTTACAGGAAAGGGGAAGCTTCTTCGTAAAACCTGGAGAGGAGCTTCATTAGAAGCAGGAATGTGAAAGAGTGAGATAGGGAGGAATAGAGAGCGATAGCTGCTATGACTGGAACAACAGGGCAGACAGAGAGAATTTCTTCAGAGAGGAGCCTTTAAAATGATCTTCTCAGCAGTCCTCCTGAGGAGTCTGAGACCGATTGCCAGAGCAAAGGGAAAGTCTGATTTTCATAATCTTTTATAGATGAGAGTTTGCTACCATGTGATTTAGTTCACCATAGCATAAACGACAGAGCGTGGAGCAGTCAGAAGTTGTTTAGGTCCATAAATCAGGGGCTGCTGTTAGGGCACATAACAGAGATCTTTACTGTGTCTCAGGGAGGAGTAAGGAGGTGGGGCTTGATCTGTTGGATCTAACCTAAAGGTGCAAACCCATGTTCTAACAGTAAGAAGCTCATGAAAACCGCAAATCTGGACTCATGACTCATTACATTTTCTTTCTTTCTTTTTTTCTATCTGATATACCTCCCATCCATAATCTCAAAATACTTGCTAGTGTTCTTCATCCGGATCAATTTCCTCCATTTACACTGATCCAGCCATGTGCTTCTCTCTACACTAGCCCATCGAGGCCTTCTCCTTCCTTCCTCATTCCACCTTTCCCTTGTGATCCTTCTGTCCCCAAAGCCCTTAGACCTTAGCCATGCCTACCTTCCTTTTGCCCTGCCCAAGTAAGTCTTTCATTGGTCAAACAGAAATAATTTCTTTGACAAGAACAGGTGTACATAAGAATATGCTTGTCTGGGCAGCAACTAGATCTTGAGGGCCAGTAATTAGCATCAGAATACATAGCACCAGACCAACTCCCAACAACTTTATTTTATTAAGGTAAGGTTTTTCTGTGAAGCCATGTTTGTCCTGGAATTTGTCTTTGTAGACCAGGCTGCCCTCCAACTCACATAGATCTGCCTGCCTCTGTCTTAAAGGTGTGAGCCACCACCAACACGTTTTACTTTTTTTCTTGTTTTGCTCGTGATTGTAGATATTCTTATTTTCTTGTATGACTAAAAGAATAGGTTCATGAGGAGTTCCTGGCTTTTGCTCCTTAATCTCTATTTACTAAGGCCTTACTTATTTTGACAACAGAAATTAATAGTAAACTGTTTCTATTTTTTAAATTAAATCATTATTCTGTAGGCTCTCGGCTTCCAGAGTTCTTTATTCATTCATCTATTCATTTTTTAAAAGATTTATTTTATTTATTATTTTATACAATATTCTGCCTTTATTAGGCTAGAAGAGGATACCAGATCTTATTATAGATGGTTATGAGACACCATGTGGGTGCTGGGAATTGAACTCAGAACCTTTTGAAGAACAGATAGTTCTCCTAACCTCTGAGCCATCTCTCTAGCCCTATTCATTTATTCTTATGTTAAATTTGATTGATTGATTTTTTATTGTGGATATGTATGAATGATGTCTGTATGGCATACCATACCTTGATGGGTTTGTCAGAGGGCAAATGTGAGTTGGTTTCTCTTTATACTTTTATGTGAATTCTAGGGTACTAAGTGGTGGTCAGGCTTGCAAGTCAAATGCTTCCACCTATTGAACCATTTTTTTCTGGCTCCCTGCTTATTCACTGACTGATTTTTTTTCTTTTTTGAGACTGGGCCTTGCTTTGTAAATCAGAATGACCTGGGATTTCTTGCCCATGCCTTAGCTTCCCAGCATTAGGATTATAGGAATGAGCCACCACACCTTGTTATGGTGAAATCCATTCTGATGGAGCAAATAGCTGACTTGCAAAATTATTCCTGGAAGGGAACATAGAGAAGCCAGAAGAAGCTGGTCATAGAGTGTGCAAAGAATGATGTTAAAGGCAGCATTGGGAGAAGAGACAATAAGGTTCTGAATGCCGTTTCACAGTTCTGAAATTATATTTTCTACCTGGTTGAAGTTGAATGACTTGGTCCTCCATGGGTATCTACCAACATGAGAATAAACCCACATTCATGAAAATACACAGCACACACACACAACACACACACACACACACACAGACACACACACACACACACACGAGAGAGAGAGAGAGAGAGAGAGAGAGAGAGAGAGAAATCTTTAAAAAGAATGCCAAAAAGAATGCATAGAAATTTGTCTAGCATGCTTGAAGCCTTAGGTTCTGTCCGCAGAACTCCAAACCAGCAATAGTAACAAATTAGAGGCTGAGGTTGTACCTTGGGAAGGCACTTTTTGGAGTTAAACTGCAAGCGCCAGACAGAAGGTGGATAGGAATGGCATCATAGCATAAAAATTATTAATTTCATATAATTAGTTTAAACTTTTACAAAGCTTAGAAATTTGCTAACAGGTCAGTGCTTACAAAGCCACAGTTTGACCAATCAGTGACTCGGTGTCTGTTTTGTTCTTTAACAACCAAGTCTACATTTTCTCATGGTTGAAACACACTGATCTTCCTCTTCAGCTGTCCAAGGACCCTCATCATCTCCTTCCTACTTTCCTGTCTACCTGGAAGGAAAAAAAGTGCTGGAAATAGGAAGTTATACATTCTTCTTTCAACAAGTGTGATTTGTTTATTGCCTATGTCAACTTGGTTTGAGATGTTTGTGAATAACACAGATTGCCTCAGTAGGAAATTCTGCCTTCTATCAGTGTTTGTTGAAATTTCTCAACTCTGTTGACAGAATAAGTAATACTGCCACCCTCCATCCATCCTGGGACAATGGAACACTTTTATTCACCATGTTTTACACTACCTGTCTGTAGCCCACTGATTATTCCTGTCTTTCTATCCTCTTCCATCACTATCTTGGCTAAGTGACTTACAGGAATGTCACTCTCTTGAATCTGTTCCATTATTTGGTCAATGAACATTATGCCACTGTTCTTTTTCAAGTGTAATGTTATTTTATTATAATAAATTTTATGTAATGCTATGGCTATGAAATGGGATAAAGTGCATTGGTCATGTTTGCAAAAGGTTTGATTGATAGATATGATGGCAGTTATGCCACCACTATTACTCCCAGTGCCTGGGCTCTGGAGAACTGGAACAGCCAGCTGCTATGACTTAGGAAAAACTATGTTCATGTGTCTTTTTTACAAACCAAATCAGGAGGTCATCACTCTGCTTGACACTTTGGGCCTTAAAACAGCGAAGCCAGCCCTCTGTTGTCTATACTAACTTGGTTGTTACTCTTATTTCTTTCAGTATAGCCAAGAGTCTCCTCTTTTGCCTTGTCAATCAAGTGTTCATATGGGCCAGCTGAGGTTGCACTCCGATCTCAATGTTTCTGTCTTCATAATTTCCTTTCTTAATACTTAATTCTCAATCCAGAAGATTAAGAGCTGGAGGCATATGGAAGGCCATTGGGTTATAAGAGTAAGAGGTCCATGCTAGAACTCTTAAAAGAGGGCTAATTAGGCTGAATTGCATGTTCCTTTATTTGGGGACACACAGACAGTTCTATATATAAACAAAGGAGCATTCAGTAGCTATCCAGTCATTTTGTGCCTAGATCTGGGACTCCCAGCTTTTAAAACTGTGACCAATGCATTTCATTTGTTTATAGTTTATTCACTCTGTGCTATCTTGTTATAGCAACCAGAATGGACTAGGGTGGGTTGAGTATACCAACAGAGGCACCCACCCACTTTCAACTATGACACCCTAATTTTCACTCACTAACAGAAGGCCTCACTGTCCACACTCTGGGTAGGTCCTATTCTACCTCCTGTCTTTAAGCTATAATGGTGACATGTCTTCACTTGATGGACTAAGATGAGGCTGAACTCTGCCATCTTTCCCAGCTAGCTCTAAGGCAGTAAGAGTGTTAAGTTTTGAGAATGGCACATGGTGACCTTTGTGGTTCAGAGCTGGCTAGTGTATGCTTGAGTTATATCCAAACAAGCTCAGGCTTTGAAGGACTCTGCATGTGCCTGTGTGACACAATATTCTCAGTTGCTGCTTAACTGTGGTCTCCTCATCCCATGTGGCCTACCTTTTCCCAGGCATTCCTGGACTTAGGTTAATTTAAAGTCACGTGCAGAGATCTCACATAGTTCAGAGGAGTAAACAATGGTGACATTGGATTTTGAAAGGGAAATCCTTAGTGTGAACTGTTTTCTGGCAGAAAAACAAAAATAACAGTTTAAACACACAGCAGCAGCGGCAGCAGCAGCAGCAGGAACAGCTGTCTTCCCTGGTGAGAGGAAGATGGGCGTGGGGAGTGGAATTAATCTCCGTAATGTCCTGTCGCCTAACTGTTCAGAGAAGCAGTTTTCAGAGTGGAGTGGACACTGAGCAGATATGTCACACTGGTGGTGTTGAGAGGGTTGACATTTTGGTTTGCAGCTTGAGGCTCCCAGGCTAATTCCCTACTATGCCCATGTCAGCTCTCCACTGGTGAACATTTTGCAAAAGTAAGAAGTATTAGGACTGAAAGGGACTTGGATAATCACATGGTCCCCTCCACATGATTTTGACAGCTGTGCCTGCAAGAATCTTACAAATCATCTCACTGCATTATTTCATGGCAACTTATATCACTGCTAGATTGGGGAAACGCTATAATTCTTTGGAGACAAACATCTTTCAATTTATCCACCAATACTAGGCTCATTTATTTTGACACTTGTTGAATTTCTGTCATTAGGGTTTGATATTTCTTTTTCTTTTTTAATATTTATTTGTTTGTTTTTATGTATATGGATGCTCTATCTGCATGTACACCTGCATGCCCAGAAGAGGGCGTCAGATCACATTATAGATGGCTGTGAGCCACCATGTGATTTCTGGGAATTGAACCCAGGATTTCTGGAAGAACAGACAGTGCTCTTAATCTCTCAGCCATCTAAGGTATTGTATTCCTAAAGTGAATTCCACAGTATTCACCCTCCTCCTCACTGCTCCTTTATCACATCACAATAGTAACATCACCAGTGTTCAGTGTTCAGAACACAGTGTTCAGTGCTCAAGCATGCATTCCTAAGTGCTTATGTGCAGGACAGTGAGTTTGAAGGTTACTTGGTTAATGAACATCAGCATTGAATTCATATTTTGTTGGATTCAGCTTCTCCTTACTGGATCACTTACTCTTATTCCTGGAAGGTTTTACTCAAAGTCCTAATTCACAAACACAGTTGTAAAAGGAACTTTTATTTGCCTGTTTCAGTCGTCTCAGAGGCTCACTGCCTCTGTCTGCTAACCTAGGCTAGTCCCGGAAGTGTCTAGCCTCTACACAATCTAATCTAGGCCTAGAATGTTTTCAACCTGTGAACCTTACTGATTGATAAGCTCAATCTTTCTTGTTCAACTCAGTTATTCTGGCTCAAACTCCTGTCCCAGCTAACTCATTCAATCTGGCTTTTCTCTTGGCCCCAGAATTGCTGCTCTTGGCCTCAAAATAACTCCAGTAATCTGTTCTAATCTTCTGGCTCCTTCTCATCCTCTGGCTCATTCTGCCTTCAACCTCTATCTATGAAACTCCCCCAATAAAACTACCTCCTTTATCTATCTGCATTGCACCTTAAAAAACTTCCATTTTGTCTCTTTTCTCGTGAGAATTGGGTTATTCTGTCAAACCTTTCTCTGATTGACCACTTTTCCTACCACTCAATTAGATATCAATTTCAAACATAAGTGCTTTCCTTTACAAACTATCTTTACCTTCATTGTTTGTACCACCACACCTGGACCTAAGCTTCTCTTTATCTGAAATTTGCTCTAAACCAGGCTAGCCTTGAAATCAAATGTACTAGCCTCTGTCTTCTGGATTAAAGGCATGTTTGTATTCCAGCTGTATTACACAAACCTAGAAGGTCTTTGGATATGATCTCTTGCCAGAGTAGTCATGTTCTAAATAAAAATTCCTCTACATAGAGCCTAAACCTAGTCATTGCCTTTGGCTCCTTGGAAGGGCTCTCACGCTGGGTAAAACGTAAACACAGTAACTGAGGAGTGTCAAGTTGTCCAACTGTATTTATGCTGGGAAATGCCAGCTTTGGAAGCTGTTGGGGACTTCAGTAGACCTGCAATATTTCCACTCATTGTCTGGGCACTGTGTGTGCCTTTTGCCTCCAGAGACATCTGTAATTTGCTAAAATTAGAAATGTGAATTTATTGGATGTCTGCTTCTTCATTTGTAAATGCAGTTAAGTGAATGCCAGATACTCACCAGAAAGAGGATTCTGTGTTTCATTCATAGACACACAGAAATAATGAAAACAATATATTTCTTGTTACAAAATAGATATTTCAAAAATACTTTGAATATCTAGGTGTTCCAAACTTACTGCTCAGTGACTCTCTGCCATTAAGTCCTAACCCTCACAAGGTATAAGACACCCTGGTCTTTTGGATGATATTTACAAATGTAGTTTAAAAAAGAAAAACTAAATTCTTGTATTTATAATTAAATTTTCTTCTGGTTGAGCAGATTGGAATAACACTGTGACATCCTCAGAAGACTCTTGGGATTATAACAGTGTAAGTATATCCTTCCCTAAATTATTAGCCATGTTCACTTGTATATCTTTCAGGAAACAATCAGTGCTTAAAGATTTTTTCTGTACAATTTAGTTCACAGGCATTTGTGTCAAAAAAAAAAAAAGAAGAAGAAAAGAAAGAGATATAGTGGTAAAGATTCCTTATTCATAGAACTCAGGAGTTAAGACAAGACAAGAACTTGGAGGCCAGCCTGGACCACTAGGCAACTTGGGCACCATAGTAAGATTCTATCTCAAAAACTGTAGATAAATAAATTCATAAATATATAAAAATAAAGAAATTAAAACAAATAGCTTGATGTTTACAAAGAATGTTTGAATTCAAGCTCCTTTAGGAACCCCTACTATTTATTTTTCTACCACTGACCTCTCTCTGTAGAGCACACTGGTGATTGTTTTTTTCCATGAACAAACCTACACATGAGGTGTTATGGTCTTAGACATTCTGAACTTTGTATGACTTTCCCTAGACTTTCTGTATACCATGCTTTAGAAAAATCTAAGGCAGTCCACTTGCAAGATTCTTTTTTAAATTTATTATTATTTTTTATAAATTACAGTTTATTCACTTTGTATTCCAGCTATAGTCCCTCCCTCATCCACTCCCTATCCCATCCTCCCTTCCTCCTCTCCTCCCATGCCCCTCTCCAAATCCACTGATAGGGAAGGTACTCCTCCCCTTCTATCTGACCCTAGCTTATCAGATCTCATCAGACTGGATGCATTGTCATCCTCTGTGGTCTGATAAGGCTGCTTTCTACTCAGGGGGAGGTGATCAAAGAGCCAGCCACTGAGTTCATTCCAGAGACAGTCCCTGTCCAAATTACTAGGGAACCCACTTGGAGACTGAGCTGCCATGAGCTACATCTGTGCAGGGGTTCTAGATTATCTCCATGCATGGTCCTTGTTTGGAGTATCAAGTCTCAGAAAAAAACTCCTATGCCCAGATTTTTTTTTTTTATCTGTAGCTCTCCTTGTGGAGCTCCTGTCCCCTTCAGGCCTTCCTATCTCCCCCTTCTTTCATAAGATTCCCTGCACTCTGCCCAAAGTTTGGCTATGAGTCTCAGCATCTGCTTTAGTAACTTGCTTTCAATGGCCCTCTGTGGTAGACTCCTGTCCTCTTGCCTGTCTTCTCCCTCTTCAGATGTCTGTCCTCTCTGCCTTTCTGGATGAGGACTGATCTTCTTACCCAGGGTCCTTCTTCTTGCTCTGCTTCTTTAGGTGTACAGATTTTAGTATGTTTATCCTCACTTGCAGGATTCTTGCCAGAGTTCTCTCTCTACAAAAAGTGGAAATAAATTTATCAATAGTTTTTTTTTTTTTCCCTCTTGGCTCTAGGAAGAAACAAGGATTTTTTTAAGTATGTGTTATAGTACAGGAGAAATAGGGGTTGAGGTATGTAAAAGCTCATCTATGGAATTGTGAGAATTATTTGATAATTGATAGTAGCAGAGCCCTTACTGGTACATGCAAGGCCTTGGGTTTAAACTGCCAAAAACAACCCACCACCGACAACAACAAAAGAAAACATTCAAAACAAAGTGGAGATATCTATATAGGGGTAAATGGCCTTATACCTTACCTATTGACAGCCAGAACATAAGACATAAACTGTGATAGTAAGTTTCTTTTGTTTGTTTTTTGAGACAGGGTCTCATGTAGTCCAACTGACCATGAACTTCCTGCATAGCTGAGGATAACCCTGAACTCCTGATCCTGCTGCCTCTGCTTTCCAAGTACTGAAATTATAGGTGTGGATCCCACCAGATCTACCTCTTCCTTGGAGACATCAACTTATTTCATAGTTCAGGCTGTCCTAGAACTTCCAATCTCACTGTCTCAGCCTACTGAGGACTGGGGTTACAGGCCTGTGTCACCTTGCCCAGTCTGATACTAAGAAAAGTAATGACTTATTTGATACTAGCAGCCAGTGGTCCGGAAGATATGGGAAGACTCTGTGTATACTAGTTAAATATTAGAAACCATTATGCACCGGGCTTCTGGTTGGGTATAGTACAAACCAGTACTGCATACCAAGATTGTTCTTGCCCTCAGTCACCCGTAAAATAGTCATGGTTCACAGCAAGGAGGAGAGTTACATTCAAAATCAGTAGTGGATTTTGACCTCTAAAGTTGTCAAACTGTCCGTAGATGAATTAAGAACAATGCACAGCAACACACAGTATTGATTTCAGATATTTGTTTATTTACGCATTTGAGACAGAATCCCATGTAGCTCATCTGGCTTTGAAATGTACCTGGGAAGAGTCTTGAACTCCCAGCCCTCCTGCTTTTACCGCTCAGGTTCTGAAATTAAGGTGTGCACCCCATGCCTAACAACAGCGGCACATGTCTTGAATCAGTAGATCAACTTCCTGAAATCTACCTCGTAAAAAGACAACAGAATTTGGGAAGATGAATGAGAAAGGATGGGCATTGCTGCCATCCATAATCAGGAAAATGTTGTGAAGTAGATGTTCACATGGGCATGGTGGACAGCCCTGTGATCCAAGCACTCAGGAGGTGGAGGCAGGTGGAGCAGAGGTTCAACATCATTGTCAACTAGTGAGTTCCAGGTCAGCCTAGGATAGAGAAGACGCTGTCAGAATACCAAATAATTATGTATTTTCCTCTATATTTTCACAGTGTTCGTCAAGAAGTACCTGAGAGTACCTTACCTACTGAACCTGCTGTCTGTAGCTGTAGAGACAGAGCTCACAGAGCTGAGCTAACCTGTCCATGGTCTCATTGACTGAGCAGCGCAGAGGAGCTGGGCTTGTGATCCAGAGCTGAGGCTCAGACACGGGCAAAGATCTGACCTCATGCTCCACTTCCTGCAGTTAGAGCATCTCCTGGGCTCTGCTTATGGTAATAGGCTAGTGCTGAGCTATGACAGGGCCTAAGCTGATGTCTAGCCTGTCTCATGCTTAGTCCAACTGTGGTGACCCCTGGTCACCTGCACCAGGACACTAGGGTGGAGTCTGCTTCTGTGTGATCACGGGGTGTTAATCAGGCTACATGCATGAACAGACTGTTTGGTATTTTTTTAGTAGGTTACTAAATATAATTCCATAATTTCCCATTTTCTCCTCCTGCTCCAAACCCTTCCATATATCTCCCTCATTTTCTTTCTTATTTATGCTCTGCATTTCTTTAATTGTTATATGTGTGTTTTCCTAAAATCATAAATATAACCTGCCCAGCCTGTATGATGTTACTTGTGTGAGCATTTTCTCAGTGATGACCATTGGACATTGGATTTTTATAAAGATGTGGAATCTTGAATTGCAGTCACAAGACAAGTAGGCTCTGTGGTAAAAAACCAGATCACACACAGAGAGCGAGTTAAATTAGAGATGAGCTACATTTTTCTGTTTTTCTACATTGTAATTTTTTTTATGATTTATTTATTTTATATCCCAGTTGTAGACCTCTCCCTCATCTCCTCCTGGTCCCACTCTCCTTCCCTCTTCCCCCCATCACCCTCCTCTAGACCACAAAAAGGGGGAGTCCTCCTCCCCTACCATTTGACCCTAGCCTATCATGTTTCATCAGGACTGCCTGGATCCTCTTCTGATGTGCCCTGGCTCACCAGGAGGAAGTGATCAAAGATCGAGTAACAGACTCCATGTCAGTGATAACCCCTGCTCCCCTTATTAAGGAACCCACATGAAGACTGAGCTGCCTATTGACTATATCTGAGCAGGGATCTAGGTCCTCTCCATGCATGGTCCTTATTTGGTGCATCACTCTCTGCAGGCCCTCCTGGGTGCAGAGTTTTAGGCTCTGTTGGTCTCCTTGTGGAGCTCTTGTCCCCTCTGGGTCCTTCTGTCTCCCCACTCTTTCATAAGACTCCTAGTGCTCTGCCCAAAGTTTGGCTGTGGGTCTCAGCATCTGCTTTGATCCCCTGCTGGGTGGAGTCTTTCAGAGGACATCTATGGTAGGCTCCCATCCTGTTCTCTCTCTTCAACCACTTCTTGTGTCTATACTTTTGCCCTTTTGAATGAGAATTAAACATCCTCCATACTTTCCTCCTTGTTATTTATCTTCTTTAGGTCTATGGATTTTAATATGGTTATCCTATCTTATATAGCTAATATCCAATTCTAAGTTAGTACATATCATACACGTCTTCTGGTTCTGAGTTACCTCACTCAGGAGGACATAAGCTCAAGTATGTTCATAGCAGCTTTATTAATAACAGCCAGAACCTGTAAACAACATAGATGTCCCTCAATTGAGGAATGGATACAGAAATTGTGGCACATTTACACAATGGAATTCTACCCAGCTATTAGAAACAAGGAAATCATGAAATTTTGCAGGCAAATGGATAAAACTAGAAAACATCATCCTGATTAAAGTAACCTAGAATCTCTTTTAATTTCATAAAATGATGCATTTAGGTAATATCTTACTGGCTATGAAAGCAGTCATTGCAAACATGATGTATAAACCCACATTAAGCATGTGGTTAGAATTTTGAGGTGTACACACATGTAATCGCCTTGAGCAACATAGAAGACCTTTCCATAAACATCAAAGACACTTTTAATTTATATGTTTCGAGTTCCACCGTGATTTTCACCTCATCTTCTTGTGTCTTACTTCATATTCCAGATCATCCACAAGCCAATACGGGGAAGGTCTAGGTTTAAAGTCCAGCATGTGTTTTCTGTTACTCGAAATGGTGTCCCTTTGTTTTACATCTGTTTATTACTACTGTTGTTTTATTTACTATTTCTTTAGGAAGCGATCTCTGCACAAAAGTTTAGAAGGAACATGACTAAGGGCTTCTATGTTGGCATCTCCATTGCTGCCCTGGTGCTGCTGCTGCTTCTGAGCACCATGGTTATCACCAGTAAGTAATTTCCTGACTGTCTCCAAGGAAGGAGAGCCAGGGTTCTCAGTCCCCCCCAACTGCCTTTAAGCAAGTTCACATGATTTTCATATCCATGCCCCAAGGGTTGTGTTAGAACCTACAAAGCACCGCAGGCAACTTCTGCTACTGGTGAGAGCTCCGTGATCTTAAACCATTGTTACTATATCTCCAAAGAAGTTGTTCTGTAAACCAGAGAGTTTATATACTAGTCAAGTTTTTTAGATAATCCCATAATTTTTTTTAGTGCTTTTGTTTTGTTTTGCTTTTTGTTTTAATGCAACTTGATCTCATGTAGTCCAGGCTGGCACTGAACCTGCGAGTTAGCTGAGGATGACTTGCAAGTGTTGGTTGGGCACCCAAGAACAAGATGAGTACTAGACAACACTGTTGTTTCTTAAGCTCATCCTTTGTCTTTCAGTAAATGCCATCAAAAGGGAAACATTATTAACATCCTCTTTAAAAGAAATTAAATACAATGACAGAAGAGATTTTGTAGAGGCTTGAGACTTTGAGACTTTACGACTTCTGTAGACCTTATGATGAGTTCTCTTCTCTCCTACCTTTGGGATCTAGTTTGTTTTCCATGATGATACTGTCAAAATTTTTGGAACACATTTAGTAGAAGAGGAAGTCTAAAGTTGGTAGGAAAGTCACCTAAGTAACGCTGGGACAGACTATTTGAAGGTGGCACTCAGGCCTGCACAGCCCTCTCCAGGAGGGTTTGTGCAATTGCAGGAGGTTCTCCTGGCTGTGTAGCTCATTCCCTGTGTAGGAACTTCAGCCACTGACACTTCAAGTCACTGCCCTTGAGCTCTGTATTGACCTGATTCACAGAACAAGGCAGAAAATGGAAAACAAGAATAGGCCTGTCAGATTTCAAGATGTTTTCCTCTAATTATTTAATTAATTAATTACATGTTCATCCAAATGAATGACTATTTAAGGTGGCTCTAGTGACATGTACCTATAATCTCAGCATCCTACAAGTCTGTAGCATCCTGGGATACCTATCAGATTGTGTCTAATAGGGAGAAGTACTTAGAACTTGAGTAAATATCAATGTGGTTTATTCTCCCCTCAAGGACTTGTTCTCTGGCAGCCCATGAGAGAAATCTAGACTTGTTTGTTTCTTTCTCTGAACAATAGTCTGCCGGTGTCACTCTAGTGAATTAGGCTAGGTGGGTGAATGTACCAAACAATGATCAAGAAGATCCTCCCTGTGGTGCAAGAAGACATTACCCAAAGCTACCAGGGGGTTGTTCAATTAAAAACAGAAACAATATCCTTGATTAGAAGAAAATATCATGAGTGTTTTTGATGACATGTTCAATTTTCCTTTCAATTTCTCTCACCGCCTCACATCCCAAATTTAGAGTATGTGATTATGACAAAGAAGTCGGAGTCTCTAGGGTAAGCTGCTATGGATTGTGCCTTTTTGCACTGTCTTGAGATTTTCACTCTGTTTTCTCCTTTGCGAGTAAATCATTCTTTCCTGATTGATTTAATGATTTTTTTTGGATGATTTGAGACAGGGTCTCAATATGTGGCTCAGACTGGCCTGGAACTTTCTATGTAGTCTAGGCCAGCTCTTTAGTTCTGGGATTACAGCTGTGTTTCACAGTGCTCAGCTCCCATTCTTCTCCTTGAATCTCAAAATGTAGTTTAATGAGTCCCTTCCTTGATATCCTCACTTCTCAGATATATTTTCTGCATTCTGTAGTCATCTACGTTTATCGTGGGATAGGAACAGAAGATCTCTTAACATCAGAACTAGAACTTTAATCTTTTTTTCTAAAGATTTATTTACTGATTATATATATATATAATATATATATACTGATTATATATAATATATATTATATAGGTATATATATTATATATATTATATATATATATTGTTCTGTCTGCATGTACATCTGAACATCAGATCTCATTACAGATGGTTATGAATTACGTGTGGTTGCTGGGAATTGAACTCAGGACCCTTGGAAGAGCATCCAGTGCTCTTAATCTCTGAGCCATCTCTCTAGCCCCCAGAACTCTAATCTCTTATAGGCAGATGCTTTGACACACTCTTGTTTTATTCAGTGTTGTCTTTCTTTTGAGTACCTAGTCTACCAAAAACTGATAAAGAGCATATGAGCTATTTGACAGGCCCTTTCAGGCAAGTAAGATGGGGGTGACAGGTTCTAGTGGTGGGCTGTGTGAGGGAGCCCCAAAAGTGCAGGAGATTTAGAGGGAGGTAATCTGTCTTGATGCTCACTGTTCCTATACTCACCCACTGAGCTCTGAAGTAGGTGCTAGAAGGACGCAATGCAGAAATGAAAGGGGAATGAGAAAGCAGGACGCGGGCTCTCAGCTGAGAGAAGTCCTATTCCAGGTGGGACAGAGTTTGGGACTGTCATTGGTTTCCTTCAGAGTTCTAAATTTCTAATTGTCTTCACACCATGTTTATATATAAATTTATTTCAGAAAGACAAAGCAGCTTCCTGACAATGAATCAGTTTGTCCCATTCAATGAAATATTTGGTCTTGCTAAGAGTTAACAAAGGCTGTTGTGTTGATGTCTTCAGTACAGTTTGGTTGTTGAGAAGAGCAGATTGGCAAGACAATGTTCATTTCTATTTCAACCTGAGTAATCCCTGACCCCAGCTCAGGGACACTCAGCCCATAGCAACCAAATGAGCTTCTCTCATATGCTCTAAAAATGTGTTGTTTTTACTACAGTTTTCTTTTTCTTAAATATGAAGCAATTACACATCCATGACAACCTGATTTGTAGATTTTCTACAATGATTGTCAAAATAAACCAGAGTTGTAGAGTGGGGAGACCACTAGATGGGGCCATCCACTTCCACACTCTCATCCTGCCTCCTTTCTCATCCCTGCCTGATGGCTGCAGGCCTTCGAGATTGTTTTGCCCTCTCTGTTCTGCAGTCTTCCTAGAGACCCTGGATAGACATGAAGGGATCTGGGAATCTGTCTGTTTTCCCCATCTATAATTTCCAATGTTTTATTTTTTAACTTGAGAACATGATGACCAGTGACATTCTGTGAAACAATGTTTGTGGGACCCAGTGGAAAAATATATGGGCAATAATGTCAGTAGTAACAACAGGGTAACTTGTCAATGTCTGTTTCCAATTTATTTTCTGTTATCACTGGCAAAGAGGGGTCACTGCAATGAAAGGTTACTTGTGAAAAAAATCTTTTAGCAGTGAAGAACATTCCAGAATGCAAGTCTCCACTCTAGCAAATTTTGTAGTAACAGCCAATTTTGAGCAGATCTCAGTCAAAGATGGTGAATTCAGTGCCTAGCTTCAATAATCTTCAGATCACACATACACACACTGTTTCGAGATTTCTGTTTAGTTTTTGAGCTGTAGTCTTACTTTGTATCCCAGGCTGGCCTGGATCTTACTGGAATGTCCCTTTCTTAGCCTGATTGCTGAAATGATGTGCACAAATCACAACATTTTATATTTTCATTTTATTTTGATATGTCTTCTTGTATCTCTGGCTGGACTCCATATTGGTAAGTACCTAAAGATGACCTTGAACTTGTGATCTTCCACTACCAGAGTTCTTGAATTACAGGCAGACACCACCATTCCTGGTTTATCTGATGTGGATGATTGAAAAGAAGTTTTTGCACACTAGGCAAGCTGTCTACCAGCTCATATTCCCAGCTCTCATACTGGTAGATGTATCATTTAAAAAGAAAGAAAGCTTAACATGCTAGCAAATATTTTCAGTCACAAGCCTTGGGAAATGGAGGCATAGGATCTGGGATTCAAGGCCAGCTTTGAGCCACAAAGATGTCTCAGACTAACAGGTTTCAAACACAGTATATCCTCCTCCATTCCCTGTGGTGGGGAGGAGCTCTTCCCTTCCCTGCTGATAGCTCCTCCCCTCATTCATGGCTCAGGCCTGAGTTACTTGTCCTCCTAGGGACCCAGCCTGCAGGAAGCTCAGTTTGCTCTGCCTCCTGAGCCACAGCCATGAGCGTTTTGGTTTCATTGATCACACTGCCTTCTGATTTCTCTTCCACACTGAATTCCTGGGACAGCTGCTCAGGTGTCCTTGCTTGTCAGCCTCGCAGTCACAGCAGGCCTCAGAGGGTACCAGGTGCTGGTACCTCCACACCCAAGCAATGATTCTATGTGTCCTCAGGAAAAGAAGAGTGGCTCCTGTGCCATGTTGCTGGCCCCCCTTTTCTTGTGCATTGCTGTCCCTCACTGTCCCAGCTGCCCTGCCCTCTCCCTGGCCATAGGCACTCTCCTGCATCAGGATCTTTCCCTCCCTCTTTTTTCTCCCCTTTCTTTTCTTTCTGGTTGGCTAACCCTTCTTCAGCATTGCTCAAATACCACCTTCTCTGTGATAGAATTAGAAAGTCCATTTAAAACTGATAGCCCTGAGTAGAACCGTACCCACATCCCCTCCAGCCATGGCACCAAAGCTTCCTTAGCTTGCTGTATGCGTTCTTTGTTGTTTTCCTGCTCTGTTCATGTGTCCTTTCATGCAGGGTGAAATTAAATTAAATTAAATTATATATTTTCTGTTTTTAAACAAATATAATTTTCTATATATGTACATGCATGTAATATTCAATAAACAAACCACATTTTCTTACGGTCTCAAAAGCTGCATTTTTGATCTATTGATGACAGCTAGATTCATACATATGTATGAATGTAACCAAATATATGAAATGAGTAAAATTTTAGTATTATATTACTATTTTCTGTAGTAAGTTAGATACCTTGTCATTTTTTATAAATCTATGATATCAAACTTATAAGCATATTATCATTGTTAGGATTTATATTTACAGTTTTTAACTGTGTCTATCTGTGCGTGTCTGTGTGGGGTGATGTGTATGTGTGTGTAAGCACAGGAGTCTGAGGAATGTTTGGTTCTTGTGCATGTCCTGTGATAGAGGTTGTGAGCCTCCCAACATGGGTGCTGGGAACCTCTCTCAGGTTTCGTTAGAGCAGTAGGCACTCTTAACCAGTGCGCCCTTGCAGCAGCCCAACTTCAATGTTCTAGTGAGAGTAGTGTTTGTTCATACTGTCTCATCCTCGGTCTCTTAGAGGTAACAGTGGAACTAAAATGAAAACTTTAAAAAACCTTGTCTTTGACAAGGATGGGACAAGGTGCCTAGGCACAATCCTTCACATTCTTCTCAGCCCATCTTGCCAAAAATGAACTTGACTGAGGCTAAGGGACTAACCACTGAGAAAGAAGAGTCAAGTTGAGGGCAGGTATTCCACCAATAGAAGGCTGGCCCTTGCTTAGCATTCTTCTAAGGGAACACATTTTTCTCTCTGTCTTCAATTTTCCTCTGTTTACCATCTTATTTGTGCGAAGACCAGGAGTGAAATCAACGGTTACATGCAGGGAATTCAGGATAGAAGTGTGTTTAGCAGGACAGGGAACCCCAGCAGAACGGCCTATGTGTTTGATACAGTCAGGGTGAGAGACGTTCTCGGATACAGTGTTGAGGGTGTCACGGCCTTTCAGAGTGTCTCCTCATTGTCCTTCAGGTCAACAAACATGATGCCCTCTCAAGTCCTCATTTCAGGCCTCATACTCCTTCTCCCAGGTAAGTGAGAGACGAACTACAGCATGCCCAGAGGACGTAAGTTCAGAAACATATCCTGGGGTCTGAATTACAGGTTACCTAGTAAGCAAAGAACCAGGATGAAACTGGAGCCCCAAAGAAATTTCTCAGTCTACATGAATTTCAAAATTTATAGCTAAAATATAAGACCCACAAGAATGTCCCATCAGGAGTGAATGAATATATATACATGCATGTAAAAATATTCAAGTAACACATGGGCATGCATGTTATAGTCAATTCATAAGGGCTGAAGAAAGGACATGAAAGGGCAACCTAAGCTTTGCTTGGCCTGTATGCCATGAAATAAATTCATTTTTAATTATTTAATTTAAAAATACTAACCAAAAGCATTCTATGATATAGAAGTAAATAGTGAATTGCATATTAATTTTTTGATTCAGGGTCCAAGATAGCTTTGGCTGCTTCCTCACCTGAGAGACAGCTGAAAACAACCTCAGTACCTCTCAAAGGCGAACATTACAGGTGTGAGCCCCTACATCTCATGCGCATTCCAAATCTCACAACCTAATGTCTAGGAAGCGGGATTGTAGAAGATCATAAATTCTTATCATACACTTCTATAATTTTATTATGACAATATGTATGGTAGTTATGAACCTAAAACATATTTTGGAAAAATCAAGTAATAAGTGTCGCAGTGAGAAACATACACCCATTACACACTCATTTTATAGAACAAGCAACATGCTTTCTCAGACCATGTCCCAAACACGCAGCCTTGGCCTGAGTGTAGGTGACTAGTCAGTGACTCTCACAGTTCACCGTCTTGTGCTGTTTGCTTATTTGTTTGTTCCTGTGCTGGGATCCCGCCAGGCACTGGCATGGCCTAGGTGAGCATGGTATGCTTGGCTGCATCTTCAGCCCTCAGATTCCACTACTTGGAAGAAGCTGGTAGCAAGGATTTTATTTATTTATTTATTTATTTAGTTAGTTAGTTAGTTAGTTAGTTATTTTACATATATGAGTGCTTTATCTGCATGTACACCTGCATGCCAGAAGAGGGCATCAGATCCCTCTGTGAACCACCGGGTGGTTGCTAGGAATTGAAGTCAGGACCTCTGAAAGAGCAGACAGTGCTCTTAACCACTGAACCATTCTCCAGCTTGGTAACAGGGATTTTAACTCATTGTCTCACCAGATACACATGAAAGTTATTTTTTTTTTTTTAGGTTTAAAAGTTGCATATTTTAATCCTTGATTTACTATTTTGACTTTGTAAATTAGTGTTGTTCGCTTCAACATGTAAGAAGGGGTCATCATTCAAATTTTATTTTTGTTTTCTTTTGTTTAATTTTTAAAGAACTGACCCTAAAGCTTCAGCTCCTTCCTGATGGTTTTATAAAACCCATCCTGGGCTTGGCCTGGTGGTGCACAGTTTAATCCCAACAGTAGGAGGGAGAGTCAGGCAGATCTCCATGAATTCAGGCAGCCTGTTCTACATACAGAGTTCTAAACACCGAAACCAGCCACGGTTACACAGTGAGAGCTTATGTCAAACAACAACAGCCATATAAACAAACAAACGCTGCTCTGAAAATTGATGTTGGAGTTAGTAATGCTCTGCCTTTAAACCAAAAAAGCTATAAAAACAAACAAACAAAACCCAAACCAAACAAAAACAAACAAAAAACTTGGGTTCTGCTCTTGGTATAGGAGAGTTAAGTAAAGAGTGATTTCATTTTCTATAACATTGAGGGGAGGGTTGGAGTGGGTTGAGACAGGGCCTCACAAGCCCAGGTTGGTCTTTAGTTCACTAGTTTCCTGCCTTCGTCTTCAGAGTTGTAGTTTTGAGGTTCCCATTATCATGCACAGCATTTAAAGAGCAATTTTAATTATTTTTTTTTAATTATAAATTTGAGCTAGTGTCAGTGGACATGCTTGTATTGTATTCCCATTTCTCAGGAGTCTGAGCTGGAGGATAGTAAGTGTAGGCCAGCCTGTGCTACAGAGCAAGGTCCTGCCTAAAAACGAACATGGTGCATAGTGGTTTATGCCTTTGATCCTAGCAGTCAGAATTAGGTGGACCTCTATGAGATCTGGCTAGCCTAGTGTGGCTAGACTGTGAGAACTACATAGTGAGCTTTGTTTCAAGAAGAAAAAAAGAAAGGGAAATAATAAATACAAAAATTATAAAGGTACAGTGTGAACATAATAAACTACAGAAAATTGTTTTCTCCACACACATATCCATTACATATTCACATTGAAGAAGAACACACTTACAGAAAATTGTTTATAGTAAAAATGCTAATGTATCAAAACTCTACAAAGAACAATGAGAAGAGTTGATAAACCTCATGTCTCCCAGGCATGATGTATCAGGTTTAATCCCCAGAAGAACCAGTAAGGAAAAATTCCACCTTTGTACCCACAGCTGCTGTGGATTCTTTCCCACAAGTGCATGGAGTGGTGGGTCACCCTGTCACACTGCCATGCACATATCCAGTGTCTGATGGAATGTCATCCATGTGCTGGGGCCGAGGGGAATGTGCTTCTGATACGTGTGGACAAACACTTATCCGGACTGATGGACACAAAATCTACTATCGGACAAACAACTGCTACCAGCTGAAGAGTCAGCTTCTTCAAGGAAATGCGTCCTTGACAATAGAGAGTGTCGTTGAGAGTGACAGTGGTGTCTACTGCTGTGGAGTGGAAACGAAGGGACAGGATGGTGTGCAGAGCCTGAACTTCTCACTGCAAGTTCAACCAGGTGAGCCTGCCTTGCTTCTTTGCTTATGTCTCACAAGTGAGCCGAGTCCTGTTTGCTGGTAATTTGTTCTTCTCCTAGAAGAAGGAAGTTCTTATAAACGTGCTGTGATTAAACCCTTGCTTTTTATTCTTTTTAATGACATAATCTCATGTATCTCAGGCTGTCCTCTGATGGCCATGCACTCCTGGTCCTCCTGCCTCTAGCTCTCTAGTGCTGAGAACACAAGTAAGTCCCATCACACCCAGGCTTAAGTGCCCTTTGGAGACACAGAATACCTTCTCTGTGCTTGAGTGAAGCTAAAATCACGCTTACTGCAAGACCATGAGCTAAGTCAGCATCTATGTCCTAACTGTACTTGTTGGCCCATGAAACTGTGTTCATGTTTATGCCCTGAAACAGTGGGGAGTGTTATTTAAGCTAAAGTGAATTAAGGGTACACTCCGTCTTTAAGTTAATGTCTTGCAACAATAAAACAGCCATTGTTTGTTTGTTTGTTTGATGTGGTATCTCTGAATAGCCCTGGCTGTCCTGGAACTCCCTTTGTAGACCAGGCTGGCCTCAAATCAGAGATCCACCTGCTTCCGCCACCTTTTCTCAACACTAAAACTGTAACAGCTCTAACCTGAAAAGCAGGCAATGCAGGGTGCTGCTGTGTACATGAGCTGGTTTCAAAGTGGTCAGCTGACCCTCTGAGCACAGGCCAAGTGTATAAGTAGCGAGTTCTACTCCCTGCCTGCCTTGGGGTTTGGAAACAGTCCTCACATCATGCCACAGTTGTTCTTTTACATGCAAAATGGACACATGGGAAAGAGTTTCTCATCTGAAACCTATTGAGTGGTTACTAGTGAAAAGTTCATGGAAGCTCCAGATCTTAAATCATTGCAGTTTCCTTTTTTCCTTTATGGAGAGGATGCGGACATCCTTTTCATAAAAGGAGTCTGGACTTTTATGAAATAAAAATAAAATGAGGCTGGACTTTCTTCTGGTGATATATCCTAATCTCATTTGCTAAGGGCTAACAGTAACAATAGAAATCAATACTAACTTGTCTCTATTTTTTTTTTTAATTCAGAACATCATTTTGTAATTGTTCAGTCTTTGCAGTTTGTTAGTCTTTTATTTATCTATTTATTTTGACGGTTGAATCTCACTGTGTAGCATGGATGGCCATGATCTCCACAAGTAGATCAGACTGTCCACAAACTCATAGACCCAGCTACCTCTGCCTTCTGACTAATGGGAACAAAAACCTGTGTCATCATGCCTAGCTGCATGGAATTATTGATGGTGAGCTGTTATCAAGCTTAGAAATTCTCTCACAGGTCAGTGTTTAAAAGTCTTCTGTCTGCTGTCAGTGGTGAGATTCACCTTTAATCCCAGCACTGAGGAAGCAAAGGAAGGCAGATCTCTATGTGTTTGAGGCCAGTCTGGTCTACAGAGCGAGTTCCAGGACACCTAGGATTATACAGAGAAACCCTGTCTCAAAAAGTCTTCTTTCTAGCTAGTCAATGGGTCACAAGAGATAGATGTTCTGTCTTTTTTTTTTTTTTTTTTGAGATTTTAAGTATAATTATAGGGATATGAGAGAAATGTGAGCAAATTTGCATTTTAAAATTTAATTTTATTTATATATTTATTTATAAATAAATATATTTATTGTATCCCCACTGCAGCCCCCTCCCTTGTCTCCTCCCAGTCCCATTCCCCCTTCTTCTCCCCATATGCCTTTTCCCTAGTACCCTGATAGGGGAGATCCTCCTTCCCTTTTATCTGACCCTAGCTTATCAGGTCTCATCTAGGATGGCTACAGCATCTTTCTCTGTGGCCTGGCAAGGCTGCACCTGCCAGGGGGAGGTGATCAAACAGCCCTGCCACTGAGTTCATGTCAGAGACAGTCCCTGTACCCCTTACTAGGGAACCCACTTGGAAATTCAACAGCCAATGGGCTTCCACTGAACAGGGGGTCTAGGTCCTCTCCATGCACGGTACTTAGTTGGAGTATCAGTCTCTACAGGCCCCCCCTGAGCCCAGGTGTTTTGGCTCTGTTGATCTCCTTGTGAAGTTCCTGTCCCCTCCAGGTCTTTCTATCTCTCTCTTCTTCCATAAGGATTCTGGCACTCTGCCCAAAGTTTGGCTATGAGTCTCAGTATCTCCTTCGATACCGTGGTGGGTAGAGTCTTTCAGAGGCCCTCTGTGCAAGGCTCCTGTCCTGTTCTCTGTCTTCTCCTGCTTCCAATGTCTATCACATTTATCCTTCTGAATAAGGCATGAGCATCTTTCCTAGAGTCTTCCATTTTTAGCTTCTTTAGGAGTATAGATTTACACAATGGAATACTACTCAGCAATTAAAAACAAAGAAGTCATGAAATTTGCTGGCAAATGGTGGGAACTAGAAAAAATCTTCCTGAGTGAGGTAACCCAGAAGCAGAAGCACACATAGAATATACCCACTCATAAGTGGTTATAAGACATATAATATAGGATAAACATACTAAAATCTATACTCCTAAAGCAGCTAACCAATAAGACTCTGTTTTTAAGGGCAATTGATGCTTTCTAAAGTTTTGCTTCAAGAATCTTTTACTATCTGTATAGCAAGATATTGTAAAAGAAGGGTTTTTTTTTTCCTTAACGGATGATTTACATATTAGATTTAAAGTCTTTAGGAATTTGTAATGTTCATGTTCAGGTAAAGAGATAGATTCATAGCTATAAGCAAACGTTGTTCTCAAGGAGATCCTGAGTTGGCTCCAGACACACACAATGACAGCTCCTAAATGCCTGTAGTTCCACTTCCAGGGGATCTGATGCCTCTGGTCTTTAGGGGCATCTGCAATTAAATGCAGAAACCCATACACAGATGACATATGCATATATACACAATTTAATATAGAAATGCATTGTATGCATATGCTTTGGCCGACACCCCAACGTTTGTTCTTCAAATGCCCACATCTGTGAATTTAGACTTAATAGTAATTAATAATTTGTTAGAGATGAGGGAAAGCTTGACATCCAAAGACAAGATTAGGTACAAATCTTCTACATACAGAAGTGGAAAGGTAGCTGTTAGAAAGATACTTAAAGCTTTCTAAAACCCAACCATCCCCGGGGTAGAACTGGATTCTGAGGGCAGCAAAAGGGTCACAGCTTTTTAAAAAAAATTTCTAGAGTAATTTGGTGGAAGGTATTGATCTCCCTCGCCTCTCATTGGCCTGCAGGCACATTCAAGCAGCAGGACTCTGAATGACTGGACTACAGTCCAACTTTGCAGAAGGCTCTAGGTTATAACTGGGATTTTAGAGTACAGGGATTGTGAAAAAGTCCACTTTTTTGCAGGCAGCTGCACACACTATAGAACTGTAAGGATTTCTCATGATTGACAGAGCTTTTCAATACTTAGTTTCTGGTGCTTTGCAGGGATGGGCTCATGAACTGAGTTTGGAGAACATGGATAAGTTACTGACTTCATCAGAATCAGAGATTTAGAAAAGAAGTGACAGATTATCTGTTCATATGACCTGCTGGGGTAGTTTTGTAAGACCTGGAGTCTCACTACTCAGGATCACGCCCTTCCCAGGAATTCTCACAGTCCACAGCTCGATGCAAAAGCAAGAGGTTTTATTGCTATCGCGATAGGGTTGCCCCTCCAAAGACAGGAGATGACCCCAAACATGCAAAGCAAAGGGTTTTTATATCTGAAAATCAGATCATTTTTGCTCTATAGTTTACAGTTGGTTGTAGATAATTTACAGCTGATTGTTTCTCAGAACAGTTCACCCCACCCTTCAAGAGCTATCTGCACCTGGCTTCAATTCAAATAATCAGTGTTTTTGTTGTTGTTGTTTTGTTTTGTTTTTTCTCATTCCCAGGTGGTCCTTCAGTTTTACTTGAGTTTTATTTTGTTGAAACAGGATCTCACCTTGGCTGGCATGGAACTCATTATGTAGACCAAGCTTGCCTTGAAGTCATAGAGACCTTCTTGCCTCTGTCTCTACTGATGAAAAGTGTTTGACACCATGTTTATCAGTGTTGAAATTCTTATCATGATTCATAACTGAGTCACTCACTCTTATTCCATGAAAGCCTTACTCACAGGTAAGGCCCTTTAATTCAGGTCTTCCAGTCCCACCTGGAAGACTGTAGCTAGGAAAGTCTACTAAGCTGTTGTTTAGCAAAGCTCTAGCGCTGAGGGTGAGGGGCCATCAGGCCTGTCTGCTCCCGGCCTCAGTGACAGCAGTTCTCTGCATTTTTCATCATTTCATCCAACAGCAGCATTGACCACCCTGCTCAGAGAGAACATTCTGGCTACAGGTGCATCAACCTCATCCACGTGGAATGTCAGGTGCCGTAAGGTCATGACACCTGACATTCCTCACCATTCTAGCTGCTTCTTTCCAGCCAAGGAGTGACAAGAACACCCTGGGCAGGGCAGCCAGCAGGAAGTTAGGACCCAGCCTCAGCTTACCTCTCAGACTTTGTGTGTGTGTGTGGGGGGGGTGGTTAAAGAATATTGTTCTAGTTATGGTTTTTGTTTTGTCACCCTCACAGATCTTTACTTGGGGTTCTCTGTTCCTGCATGTTTCTGCTGGGCCTTGACATAGGTGACTCATTCTCTTCTTTCAGAACAGACCTCAAAGGTCACCTCCCCAAGTGTGCTGCTTGTTTGTGGTTTTGAGAAAGGCTGCTGTGAAGCATTCAATCCCAGTGCCCCGCTCTCTGAGAAATGAGACTATACCACAGTTATGAAAGAATGTGAGGCTTTGGGCTAATGGGAACATTTTGATCTTGAGTGTGGTGGTGATCTCCAAGTACAGTCTTCAAACTGAAAAGACTTTCCTTCTAGGACGGTGGTCTTCTGCAGCCCGCCCTGGCCTTGACCTCACTGTGTAGCTGAGGATGACCTCAGACTTCTGATCATCCTTTCTCCACCTCCCAGAGAAGGCTGCAGGTGTGGGTGGCCCTGGGGGCTTCCCGGATGCTACAAATGCCATGGTACC